CACCACAGAAATTCTTTCGTCGATTTCGATGTGGTTTTAAACTGGAGTAACGTGCACGTGGAATTTTCTTCTTGTTTTTATTTTCAGCCACACAAAGTTTCGATCGCACCGAAAATCCAACAAATAGATTTCGATAAATATGTACAGCGTACACAACGAAATCGTGATGTCCCAGATATTCACACTAACAAACTGCTCCTCGAAATACTTGAGCAAATAGTTTTAGCGAATTACACTTCGACCTTAATCAGTTTCCAGCGAAACTGATAAAGATTTTCTGGATGCTACTTCATTTCGTATTGTGAACAGGAAATTTATCATTTTCACAACTTGTTCTGTTCTAAGTAGACTCTGTCATATGTTGAAGACTTTGGCTTCAAAATCCGAAACAACCCTTGGAAATTGTACTGCAAAATAAAAAAGTATATCATAATGGAGATGTTTACTGAAAATGGTGTTAAAATGTATATGAAAGACACAAATCGGAGAAAACTGTGTTGGACCTTCAGATGATTGAGCACCTCTCAACCGTCAATGGGAATAAATTTCACTTTTGCCCGTTTACATTCAGTTTTTGTGCCATTGAATGTGTCAATTCTATCTCATTCTTTAATTTTCGTATCTGTTTATCACAGTTCCGATACATTGTGTTGCATCGAATTTTCAATTTTCCGGTCAATTTCGATGCTTTTTCGTTCAGAATTTGAAGCTGGAATGTAGCGTAGAATCGACGACGAATCGCAGATATTGCATCTTTATGCATTCGTATCGTATTTCACAACATTGTATCCGAATCTCAATCATCGCAATCAATATGCACGTTGCATTTCGTTTGGCTGAAGTGCAATGGATCGTTCATCACATGATTGGTTTGGTATCTTTTTCAATTCTCGACGCCCGTTCTTTTGCTCATCGTACGATGGATTCTTTTGAGTAAAACGAGCTTCTACTTTATTCTTCCACGAGTTCCTTCGGTAAATGTTTGTTCTTCTATTTACACTGTTGCTTGAGATAGCTATTCGCTCTAATCGATTGTTGACTGCAGGCGGTTGTGTGCCGTTGGCGCAGCGCAGCAGACCGAAACAAATGGATTTTGGTTGCTCGATTTCAAGATGTAAACAATATGAAAAAGATTCAAATTGGATCTAACAATGCTTCAGTGGTGCTTTTTTGGTGCATACTGGATACGCACTCACAATTGCCATTTATTAGCAGAAACAGCATCGGGCACCTGGACCTCATTTATATTCATTTGCTGGGGAACAATAATCACATTCAAAGCGACAAAGTTGTAAACAACAATTGCAAATAATGCCCGATCATAGGAGGACGTGCATATTTTAACTCGAGAACAATGGAATAAATTCGCACTTTGGTCGCTGACAACGACACAGCCACAGCAACAAAAAAAGACACAACACTCCATTATATATTACAAGACGACAAACAAACCAACAGAAAAAAAGGAATCCAAGTTTGCAGTGTGAACTATTTTGTAGTTTTTCGAGAGTTGTTGCGTGTGAGACATGCAGCCGAATGTCGCCAGTGTGTGCAAAACTAAAATGCAAATAGCAAAATGCTAATAAAAACATTGTGTGTGTGTGTGTGTGTGTGTGTGTGTGAGCGAGAGCGAGAGCAAGAGAGAAACTTGATTCGGTTGTCGTGTTTTTAGCCTTTCGGTTGCATGGCAAACATTGGTTTACATATTTATTTTGGGCAAAGTTTTGTGCATTTGGGCGCCGGGGTTTTTGAATGGCGTGAGAAATTTGCCAAAGTGCACATTGTTCTCGTCGAACTCGTTCGCTGTTAGTTTGTCATGTTTTTGCTCTCGTCGTTTTTTTTTCTTCTTCTCTCCACTGCGATGCCAAACCTGGTTTTCGCTTGTTCCATTTTCTGAACTCTTTCGCTCGCTTTTTTGCCGCATCGAACACGAAAAATCACACACTCAACTATTTTCATTAATATGGAAATGATTGAAACGAAACACTGATGCCATCTACATGGAAAAGTGAATTGATCTCGCTCGTTACGAATAAAATGATGTGACAACCCAACTAAACTAAATAATGCCTTATTTGAACATTTTCAGTGTGTTTTGCATTTTGATACCCGATTTTTGAATCATATTACAAATAAGGACGCAAATGAATGAATTCTCCCTTACAATATAAATGCGTAGTTCAATTCCTTCAGTAGCGATTCTCGGTGTTCTTTGACAATGCATGCATTTGCAGTTTCATTTGTCTGTTTGTGTGAGAATTTTTGTTTTTTTCTTCTGATTTTTCAAACGCTTTCTCTCCTTTCTCGAAGTCAGCACGAGAACGAACTTCACATCTTATTTCTTTTCTTCATTCAATAAACTCAAAGTTCTCTTTCGCAAGCTTCTGGATTCAACTTTCAAATTCCTGTGTTTTTCTTCACGAAAATCAGCTAAAAAGTTGTATTTCTCTCTTTTACCCTCTCATCGCATGTAATTTCCCGTGTTTATCCAAAGATACTTGTTTCGTTCGTTGCATTGATTTGTTGTCTTCCGTGAAAATCGATTATTATGCAAAATCGAAAGCGATTCAATAATTGGAATCTCTTGTTGCATGAATAAATCGTTGAATGTTTATTTATGTTCAGGAGCCAAACTCAACCGTTTCTAAATTGTATGCAACGGTTTCAAATGTGAACGAGAAAAATATGTATCGATTCATTGCGCAGCGTATTTCTGGCTGAGTCTTTGAACAACTTTTCCATATCGATCCTTTTGCTGTTTTGATTAAAAGCAAATAAGGAATAGCGTTTTCAAATCAATTCATGAGCCACTAATATCGTTCCCGTCTTAATTCTTTATTTGCATACAAATAAAAGTAAACATTATGTTTGTTTGCTGCGCTCAATAAGGTTACATAACCTTTGTATGGCAAGTGGAATAGAACCATTGCCTTTCGTTCTGTTCTCTTCAAGGAATGATGATTTTGAGCATCAAAAAATGCATCAAACATTCTCAATTTGAATTGCAGTCGATAAAAGGAGTTCTCAATTTCAATCGATGAATAAGAAACTCTTGTCTCAACATTTCAAAGGCAAACCAGTTTATCGGGCAAGAAACAAAATCTGTCGAAAAATATATGTAAAAGGCTGATTTTCGATGAGATTACGTTTTTATAAATAGGAGAGAGAGTACGAAAAATAAAAAAACGACGTGGAATATATGAAATGAATAATGGAAAATATCAAAAGTGTTTCAATTAGTATGTTATTCTCCCCTTCATGAGCTTAGGCGAAATATGATCCAAAAGATTCGAATCGAAATTTGGCTAAATGCAGATATATTGTGAGATTTTTTCTCTTTGTTTTGAGAATAGAGCAAACATGATGAGTTCCGAAGGCATTTGAACAAAAATTGAGCACTTATTTCTGAAATGGAAGGTGATTCGTGAAATATTTCAGCCTCTCTGATTGTCTGTACAAACAGATAGGAAACGTCAAACAAGAACAATAAAGCGGCACCTGGAGACTGTTTGAAGAAATAGAGAATCATGCACATATTTTGCTGTAAAAAGTACGCGTCTGTGTTATTTCAAATGTTGAAAGAATGACACATTGCACTTAGTCCCCAGGCGGCGCTGTATTGTTTACTGTTTTCATAATCAGAAAGGCTGAAATGTTTAATGAGAATTGTTGGATGCAACGGGAGTTGTTAACATTTTTGAAATATTTGACCTACACCTGTCGACCTGTACAGTCGACTGTACTGAAGATCTTCTGTCTTGAACCAATGAAAAAGCACAAAAAATCAAGAAACGAAAAAGAGAGAAAAATTGAGTATCAACTCTCTTCAAAGTATTGAATTGTTCCACGTCTCTTTTCGTCCTTCATTGACATTGTATTGATTTTCGGCTATAGACGTTCTCGTTCTTATAATTGAACTTTTATGCAATTTTCCATAACCATATATATAACAGAGTCGGTATTTTATGTGACGTTTCAAAGTAGTGCGTCATTCGATGCCTGTGTACTAGTTCGCTTACAGGCTTGTGAATAGTTTCGAACTTCAGCATTTCTTCAGCGAAAGGCTTTGCTGAGATTAACATGAATACCGAACATCTTCGTCACCATTTCTATTCATTTTCGTTTCTTTTGAGCTGTGTTTCGTTAGTTTCGCTTTTATGTAATTCATCAAACGAATTTTCTTCGGCGAAATTTCCCATTTATCAAACGCTTTTGAGACGCCAGACATTACATACGCTCCAATGAAATGCACCAGAAGAACGACTCGATGATGAAACAAGAATGCAGAAAATTCGCGACGAATTTTGTCATCGGAAGAAGCATTTTGATTTGCTGTGAAACACATTCATTAAAAGTTGTGCAAGAGTTTTTTTTCGGTAATTAGCTAATAATTATAACGAGCAATGTTAATAAAGATGAAATGGTCGCGACTCATTCAATCAAACAATACACTCCAAGTGAATAACATCACGTCCTTTAAATATAATTACATTTCTGTGCGAAATGAACGAATACAGAAATGAACGCCTCTGCTGGAATGAATAGATAAAATGTTCCACTTTTCTTCAGCGAAATACAAGAAAAGAACAAATTCTTGATATCGAAAAGACGACACTTTTCACTCGGACTCATTTCAACTGTTTTCTGCACTGTACAGAAACAAATACGGGACAGTATACTGGATATTCATAAACATCTGCATAATTAAAACTTGCTGATTTATGTCATTTCGACTTTCTTTTCATTGGAACTATTTTCACTTTAATTGTTTTTTTTCCATATCTTTTACTATTCAGTATCTGAGTTTTGAAGTTGAACTTTGCATTTTTCAAAATGTGGAACTTTTTTCGCTCGAATGAACTTGAAAATTACCATCTAATCAAAGTTTATACTCAATTCTGAATAGCTTTAGTATATATATACTTATTATTACATGACGATTTTCAGCTTTTTTACAATTTTTGTTCAATATTTTAATGTAAAATGTTCTTTTCTTTCAGCTGTTAAACAGTGGAAACTTCAACAATAAGCGAGATGCATATACTGAAGCCGACCTTGCTGCTGCAACAAATGAGACGCCGTCTTCGACCTGCATTTGTAATGCGAATGTAAGAACTTTTAAGACTTTTTGTGGAAAAAGGCTTTCGTCACTTTTCAAATTTGGTCCAAAAAAAATCTCTTCATACAATTAAACAAAATTGAAATGATTAAAAATTAACTAATTTTTGTTTGTTTGCAGTCACAGGAACAAATGCCCACCGACAATGTACGGAAAACTCTGCTGACGATGTCAAAACACAGCTGCTTCGATGAGCAAGGTCGACAGTGCTTGTTGCAAGTCGTGTCACTGCTGAACAATTTAGAGACAATGTCACAAGATGACCATGAATTTTCACTTGACGATGATCATTTCAGCTCAATGAATGTGAGTGGTTGGAATAAAATTCTCTTCGTTTATGAAAATCGCTTCTGATAAATTTAAAAGAACTATAAAATTCCAACAGAAATCAGATTTAATGAAAAATCATATATTTTGTGGAAAAAAGTTCCAATCTAATTTTTTTGTTTCGTCTCGGCAGGAAAAATTAACTCGATTCTATTCCCCGGATCACACGAAGTCATCGCCAATGGCATCGGCTCAATCGTCGCCAATGCGAAACTACGACCGAATTGTTGCTTGTGTTCCGCCATACACAAGCCATCAAATCGATGACACGGTTTCTGGTCACAAATTGGTAGTCCAGAAACTCTCGTCCAGCCATTCGTTCACAAGTAGTATGAATGAGAGTGGTGTGTTCGATGGCGATTCAACGCTTCCAATCACGGATAATCAAGGCACTCAAACGAATTTCGACGATTTCCCGCTAACCGATGAACTGGTCGTAACTGGTTGCGCCAATAGTGATCTCTGTGCTGAAATCCAGAAATTGAATAAATTCCGCAAGAAAATCGAAGAATGTTCAATGAATTCACCGTCTCTGGATATTGGTGTGTTGAGTCCATTGTCAAAGCTTGACGAAACTAGACTGCAGTATTATCGCGACCGTTTAGACATGCTCGAAAACAAAGTGGCAATCTATGAGAGCAGCGGCGATGCACAGCTACGTCGATTGGCCGGTCGATTACAGAATGAAATTCAATTAGATGCCCAAGTGAAGCTGTTAAAACAGCGTGTCGAAAAGCTCGAATCGACCAATCGTCAGCTCGACGAAGAGCGTTGTGAATTGGAAGAAATTGAAAATGACACACGTTTGCAATTGCAGCGGCTTGAAGTCGATTTGGAAATGTTGACGCAACGCAATTCTGAACTGGAAATGTCGTGCGAAACGGCACAGGCAAATGCAGAATGTTTGCAAGAATCGATAAACCAGTTGAACGAGCAAATGTTGCTGATTGACGCCGATCGCAATGATTTATATCTCAAATTAGAATTGATAAGTGCATTTATGCCTGCAATTCTGCTGTATCATGCATGGCAAATGCAGCAATATCAACCACGCGCTCTCACCGACCCACAAATGGCAATGAACGAAACCACCGAACGACTATTGTCACCATCGGTCCAAATCGAATGTGTGTGCAATAAAGAGCACATTTGTCCCGATAGCGATAAATTCCTTGAGCTGGTACGTCGCGAACAAGAACTCACCGGTACAATTGCCGAAATGAATCGCGCCTACAATGAGACACTCGAACGCGCTGACAATTTGTGGGCGCAAATGGAACGTGAATACAAAGATAAATTGAACCGTAGCCAAGAGGATAACACATTGCTGCGTTCGAAAATCAATCAATTGGAAAAGCGATTGAAAAACGATGCACACTATGCCCAAGAACGAATTGCTCAGCTTGAGGATGAGGAAAATGTGCTAAAACGTCGACTCGCTAAATTGAATCGCATTAGTCGCGACGAAGCCGACAAATACAAAGCATTGCAAGGTGATTTTCACAGCCTTAGCAGTGAATATGAAAAATTGAAAACATACATGGACGGACCGCTGAGCGAAACCATCGAAAAGGAGCGGAAAAAAGCACGCACCATGGAAGAGGAAATGCGAATGGCGTCCAAAATGTACAACGACTTGGAACAATTGCATCGCACACAAATGAATTTACTGAAAACGAAATTGGAAAAATGCAAAAAAGATTTGATGACCAGCGAAATAAATAACAGTGAATTGAAGGAAGAGGTGGTGCAGTTGGAGCATAAAGTCATCGAGTTAAACCGGTGTCGACGTGAAGATGAAGACCGGATTAAGACTTTGGCAGCAGAGGCTCATGAACAACACACCGTTGTGAGACCCATCAAACCGATTCGAATTAAACACAATAGCCGCAATTTGGCACAAGAGCTCGGCTCATTCGGTCGCAACAACGGCCTTAATGCCATCAACAATCTCAACTACACATCAGTTTATACACTTAACTCAGTCGCATCCAAAGTCAGCGAAACCATCAAAAATTTTGAAGTAAGTATAAACGGCAATTTGATTGAATTTTGGATAAAAACGAGACATTAACTAGGATATATTTTGAGAAGTTCACTTTTTACCAAAGAATGCCAACCTATTCTTTTTAAAGTGCCTCTATATCCAATCTTTATGCCTTTTTCGACCTTCACACGCTTCATTTTCTTTCTTCTCATCGTTCTCTTCTGGTCTCAACATCCTCTTGACACCAGATCTTATTCACAATGTCATTGTCTTCATTGAGCTAATTTGCTGCATTTGCTCAATTGGTTTTGATCGTGTTTCACGATGAAGAATGCTTTTTGTCTTTGTGCGAGCGAGATGAACATGTCTGGCGGCAAGTGAAACTGCAACGTCAACGTCGCTTTGAAAACAGCACAAAGCATTTCAAAAATTTGTTTTCCATTCATTTTCATTCAATTAATTTGTCTTTGTTTCCATTAACGTGAGTCTCCCCCTATTCTTGGAATGCGCTTCAATTTTAATTACGCAAACAAAAACAATGCGTCGACGATGCTTCAAAATATACACGGTGGAAATAATTCCTGATCTCGAGTACACACGAGCACACACACACACACATAGTTGTGGTGATTTATTGCATCAATTTTGCGTGGCTGTGCAAATGATATTCCATCCATTCTGTTGTTATATCGCACAAGGCAACTCTTTTGACCTCTATTCAGTGCGGCACACTCAATTAGATAACGAATTGCCCGAATCCTGATATACATACGGTAAATCAGCTGTGAATAGCATCAGCACGGTGTGTACATGAAATTCCTTTTGGTATTTGCCTATTCACAAGTAACACGCTCCCGTCCAATGCATCCATTGATTTATTCGCTCGCTCGCTCCAGTCAATTTCATTCAGCTCTGAAAGTAAGTGGCAGATTTTAACACCGTATTTCGCGGAGTAAATGCGAACAAATGATAATTTTAGGGCCCAAGCGGTACAAGGAAAAAGCCAAACGCACAGACATCAATTAACTAACACGCCTCTTGGAAACATGCACTAAAATGCGCTTCAAATAGCGCTTAAACGATGCCTCTGCAGATGATACGAAAATTGTGAGCACTTGATGAATTAGGGAAATTGTTACATTATCAAAAGAGGAATTATTGTTGAGAGAGAGAGAGAGAGAGAGAGAGAGAGAGAGAGAGAGAGAGAGAGAGATAGAGAGAGAGAAAGAAAGAAAAATGGGTGAAATTGACGCTGACATATTTTTGAACAATTTTCTTCTTATATTCTCTTCATCGATAGACGCCCTTTTTTAAAAGAAAATCAATAAACAGAGCAGAACAAGATTTGGTTTCATGAAAAATCGTTTCGTACGGAGAAATATAGTCATTTTCGACGGCACTCTACGTGGATAAATAGTGCTTCGTTGACTTTTGAACGAGTCGAGCTTTCTTTTGCTTCGATCCACTTGAAATTCGTTTAAACGCTTTGCCGATGGCTTTGTAGTCGGTTATTGATTTAGCTATTTTGCTGGTTCAGTTTCCACTACGACTATGGACGCCTGTTACGGGAGCAAGTGCGCTGGAAAGCTTTTCACTGCAAGCATTTCCCCTTGCAATTTTACTTCTCCTGTAGAAGGCTTTCGTCGGTAAAGAATGGTGTCGAATTGACTCTCTGCGACCATCTTTGAGCAAAAATCGGAAGATGAAAAGATGTAGCATGTTCTGATTAAACCCAAAATTGCTGAGGAGAATAGAATGGAAGAGGAGAATAGAAAGGGAATAGGTTAATCTCTAGACAAAATCGATAAAATTACCGTTGCATCCATTCAAAAGTCCAACTTGCCATACTCATTGTTGGTTTTCCCATTTTTATCGACAGAAATTTCTAATTACCAACTTTTTCGTCGCTTGAATAAATGTTCATCAAAATTTTCGCTGAATGCTCAAACTCGAATTAAAAGCGACTCATCGTTTGACAATGGTAGTTTCATGTCTTTTTTTGCTCTGTGTCTCGGATATTTTCGTGCTTATTTTCTTGTTCAACAAACTTTTTGATTGAAAACCAAATCCAAATTTACTCTTTAACAAGTTCTCATCAATGCTTATTCTTTTTTTTTTGTATTTTCCAGGTCAATCGTGAACCAATCCGTCATCAATTCGAATGAAAGAAAGAGAGACGAAATGCGGCAGCTGCTCGTTTAATCTGTTTGCATCATTTTACGCTTCGCGGCCATTTTTCATCTGCATTTTATGTTTTTTTTTGTTTATTTTGTTGGTTGCCGAAGCCAACAAAAGCCATATTCAATCGGATTGTTCAATCAAAATCAACGAAGAAAAAAATACACGAAAAAAATTGATAAACTAGAAAAAAAACTGCATAAAAAAAATGTTAACGATCACAAGAATAAAATAAATTGTAAGGAAACGAAACAAGAAATATATAAATTAAAGTGTAGCGATTATCTATCTTTAGCTTCAGTATGAATATACAATACCCAATATTTATCACAGCGACAACCCGAACCAGGAAAATGCTCGAGACAGTCGCCAAATATTACATCTTGTACAACTCACGATCCCAATCATTTGCATGCAAATCAATTTAACTATTGAAACTGTTTGACAATAAAATCGATTATTCAATCCAATGGACATAATGTTTTAATTCGGTGGAATTTCAGAGTGGAAGAAGAAAATTGGAGATATTTATAAGACGAGGGAGATGGATAGTCGAATCTTGGAGGAGGGAGGCATTTCTGGAGACAGTGGATACAACATTAAATTAAACAGCGCGTCTGCATAACATCAATACATGTGTCAATATACTGCTCAATTTCTAAAGCTTCGAAAGTTGATTAAAGCGCCTGAATGTCGACTATTTTCGCCACTTCTCAAGCCCAATGAGCAATGACTGGAACTCAATTCAACATTAAATTTCTTATGATTCAAGATGATTCAAGTAACCTCTAGTATTCATTCCGTACGGTTCTTTTTTAAATTTGTCCTACAAATAAAATATTCAGAACATTTTTCCTTGATATAAAAAAATTACTTTTCATTTCACTATGCAAAATTTTCAAGAATTCGTTTTAATGATATAACCTAACCATAATACGGTATGTTACTCATATTTCGTTGGGAAGTTGAACGAAATGCAATCTGTTTAAATTTATAATTGAAGTATGTGGCACATGCTTGTATAAAAGCAATGATTCCGTTGAAATATGTGCAGAAAATATGAATAAATGTTATAAATACCATTTAAATACGAAATGTGAAATGATGATATGGAATGTGCATAGAGAGATATAGTAGTTGTATATGCGTCGAATTCGAGATTCAATGTATATTTACCGTGCGGCGCACCAGGGTGACCAATTTCGGTGACTTAAAGCTAAATCTATCCAAATATACATATATTAAGGGTCCATTCGGAATTAAATGCAATTTGGTTTTATTTAAATCAAACAACACCGGATTTCATGTGCTGAACATGGATTACTTTATTATTATCTGCTTTCAAAATGAGGAAAAAGAACCTGATGAAATATCTCGAGAGGATGTTTGCCGAGGGAAAGCGAAGTGAATGCAATGAAAATATATTAGTTCGGTTGAAGGGCATGTCCAACGAGTAGGTAACGAGTAGAAATTCATTAAATTGCAAAACAGACAGAAGAGAAGAGGCACGTGGAGAATGAAAATATAGAAAGACAGGTGCATTGAAAATGAAAAATGGATTACATACTCATTTATTCCGACGTTCAGTTGTTTTGAATGTGAATGTGCGCGCAACCACCAACTCATGCACACAGTCAAAATGAAAGAGATCATTTACTGGCGCTTATCCATTCAATGCAACGCACAATTTGCGCAAAAAGGCATAAATAAAAAAGCAACGGAAGTTAAATGAATGAGAGACAGAGAGAAAGAGAGAAGAGCCATGCAAAACTTATAGCATACTCGATGCACACTATCGGAACAATGCACAACCCGAAGATTTTCAACAACAAGAAATAAACACAAACACATATACACACGGCAGACAGTTCATCATCAACATCAGCCGCTTCGTTAGATAACGATAATAGCCCCTCACCGAAACTACGTACCAGTACCTACTCTGCATAAAATGCGAACAATACAATGTTTTAGAAATGCGAATAGTAAAACCCCGAATTTAGAGCTGTGAAAAGCATAACTTTGACTTCATTCGCCTGCTTATTTTGGAATGTGCAGTTTTGAAGCGAAAACTCCGCCATTTGAGTGGCAAACGCAATGTTTTGGACAGCATTGACATGGAATAGATGCCAGAAAATGCAAAAATTCTCTACTTCAGAGTAGAAAATGAAAATTCTTTCGATAACAACAATTTCCGACGACACACTTTCAAGGTAATTTCTATTGGGACTCTACCGTTTTGAATCTACTAAGCTCATTCTAGCTAGAAAAAAAAAGATATATAAGCCCGAGCATCACACAGACGTATTTCGGTGTACATTGTTTAACAAACATGCACCAAAAATTGTGCTTCAGCGCACGAATTTCATTGTCATGATATGGCGTTTCGTTGCATCCGTCATCGCCAAACGACGACGACAATGACAGTGATAAACATTTCATTGCAAAATGGTTGACTTAAAAAAGCATGCGAACAAAAGCTCCTGCACTCGACCACTCGACGCTGACATGCGAGTTTACAGTAAATTCTTTGCAAATACCGAAAATCCACCATTCCTCTCTCTGTGGTTGCAGAGAGCTTGTAGCAGCAGTAGCCCGCGTTTTGTGTCGCTCATTTAAATTAAATTCATTTTATTATATTTAAATCCGAGCCACGAAATAAAGTGGACGGCTGCACATGTGGAATTTGCATAATAGTGGCGAATGTGGCTGGAATATGCGAAAAATTCCATCATGAATACCAATTAGAGCTGTATAAAAATGTTAATTCCCTTTTAATTAATGTCAACATAATTTGGTCAATGAAATTTCAATTTTTCCGTGCAATTTTTACGGGGATTTTAATTTAAAAAAATTCGGTCAGATTATTTTCCATAAGATATGTGTAGTTTCTATTTTTGATGGCTGCGAATGTGAATGCTAAAGAGAAATGGTTTGAATGAAACGGAAATTGTACTGCCCTAAATAGTCGTAATGAGAGTTCTCGCTTTGAGGGAAATTCCATTGAAAAACAAAAATCATTTTTTTTCATAGAGCAGAATTGCAACAACAGACTCTGAATAAGATAACGTGTTCTGATAACATTAAAAGGCTTTAATATACAAATTAGATGAATCATAATATCATGGATGTGATATGGGTTCTTTTCTTGACTTGTATAATTCAAACATACTCCAAATACTTTACCTAACAAACAAAGTTTGCGGAAAAGTAAAATGGAACAAGCGAATGAATTTAACTTAAATCTATCAATCTAAAGTTGCTGCAACTGTTGTTTGAGCGAAATCGAAGAGGTGAAATCTAAATTTTGTCCCGCTTGGTGTGGAATCGTCGTCTATACAAGATGTGCAAGGTACTAAGCATGTGTTCCTGTTGGACGTCTTAATCGAATCACAAAGTCAGTAGTTTAGTAATTTTTCGTGATTGAAATGAACGACACGCTCATGAACACGTATTCTTATCTTTTATCATTACATTGAATCAAAAACACACTTGACGCTTAACGTTATCAACTTTAGTTGATTAGTACAATCTTTTATATCTTTTATTTTTTTTTGATAAAATATAGTTCATCACTATATTGCTTTATCGAATGGATTGAAGTAACACGACCTTGCCTTGAATCTATTTCCGTAGTAACTGTTATTAAATCAAACACAAATTAGCTATTGATCAATCAACTAACTAGAGGTAGCTCTTTAGAAGAGCCTCTTCTACTGTTTGGAGTTCTAAAAATAAAATACACTTTCAGTTGGTTTTCACTTGATTTCGTAATTTTAGATTTTTGAATTGTCCATTGAATGACATCATGGTTGAGTTTTTCTTCAAGTTTCACTGAACAGTGCGTATTGGTTAAATCATAAATTCAATCAAAAGTGCCGAGTTGGTCGTAAAATGGAATGAGTTTTCGAAGATTTTCCTGAAATTTATCGCCTTTATAAAAGCCACGTCTGGCTTTCAATCCAATGTCATTGTCTTGAAGAATAATATCGAAAGTTGCTTCCTCTGTGTTATTGAGCATGAACGGCTGTATCAAGCATGATGATATGAAGCCTGAAACGAATGAAATTCGAGGAGAAATGTGACAAATTTTTCACACTCAAATCAAAAGAATGAAAAGCCATTCGTCTTCAATTAGTTTCCTTTCGATTGTAATATTGAATTGCTTACCTAAAATCCGTCTCTCGTAATATTGCTCTTGAAATTCTGGCCACGTCGGTATGCGTTTCTTGTAATTCAATCGTTTGAGGAAATCCACCAATTGCTCATGGTAAAATTGAACTAATTCATCGAATCGTTCTGGACGTAAAGCTTCGTTCACCGAAGAGTTGAGAAAGTAAAACAAATCAGTGGTTGGTGATGACCAATAAGCAAATTGAAAGTCGATCAATTTAACATTTTCGAACGGTTTCTCTGGCGATCCATCACGAGTTTTAATCATGAAATTCGGTCCCCAGAGATCATCATGATTAAGTGTATTGAAATGATTCAAATTTAAATCGTACGCTTGACAACCTAGTTCATAAATTCTATTACGAAGCCGACGCAGTTTTTCGACATACACAGCAAAATCAGGCCATTCTGAAATGATCTCGATCACTGCGTCTAGAGTCAATGGGTAATAATCTTTGAATGCGTCAGCTCCACGGCTTATGTGACCGTATTTGAATGTGACAAAAATGTCCGATTTCTCTTCTTGCAATACTGCACAAGTGGCATGGAACGTTGCGATCCGTTTCAGAAGCGCTTTCGTTTCTTCAAAATTAAATCCATCTTTCACGGGCAAAATACGATATCCGTCAGCCGATAAATCTTCGAGAATCATAATTTTCTTCAATTTACACACTCCAATCAATTCGGCAAAAAGTTTTTCTTCACCCAGTTCGTTCAATATTTTGTTGATTTTCGACGATATTTCACGATAAAACTCAGTTTCTTTATCAAAAATATGAAATTGAGCAGAAGTCTGCACTAACCATTCATCTGTGGACTCTTCTTTTACAATTAAGCTAATGTTTGTTGTCTGAAATTTGAAAGATCGATTAAAAATATTTTATTCCGATGAAAAAAAAAAACATTTCTTTTTAGATGTTAACTTTACTCACATCTCCCTTCTTTGTCGCGTTATTTCCCGATGAAATGAAGGTAACATTCACTCGATGGATGCAACTAAAGTAATTTTCACCTTTTCCAACGGCTGGTTTCACATCAAAATTTATAACTTGAATTTCCATGTTTTGGTGATATTTCTGCAGATGTTCATCTAAAAATTTCTTGTCAAGCCATTGTGGAGGCGAATATGTAACGGAAGAGCCAGTTTCTACCATTTTTAAAGAATTCAGTTTTTTTCCAATCGCTTCCCGTCAAACAATCTGAATTCACAAACTAACAAATTAGAAACAATTCTTAAAATAAGGATATGATCTGTTGAACGCCCTAATCAAAACTCATTCATTTTATCTCTTTTTCAAAGAAATTTATACGATTTTTAAACGAATGCAATGTTTGCAGAAACGATACGCTTCTTTACGACCGACAAATGATTCAACAAAAAAAAACACGTCATTTGACAGAAACCATCAACAAAGCCCACAGTAACTGTTATCGGCACAGCAGAAAAAAGCTGTATCACGATGATCAACTTTGCATAAGAAATTAAATGCCTACTTTCGATAAGAAAATTGTAAATCTCACCATCTTGTATAGCGATTTGAATTTAATCATCTTTGCTTACCTCTCACATCGATGCTTTACTATACTCTGAGCTGCCGGCAGATATTTTATCTGTCAAGAATGTTCACGTTCAGCTCACTCACACAATTTCAGTATTGTGTTCATATTAGTGGATTTTTTAAAAAAAAATTGTTGAGTTTGAATACGTAACTTTTTGGCCATACTTATTTGGTATGGAATTTTATGTTTTTTTTCCTTTAAAAGATTCGATAATTTATTTTGGTTAATTCTCTTTATTGGAATATGTTCCACTATTGAAAATGTGTTTAAGTGACACGAAACGACTTTCTCTCTCATAATCATACATGATCAACTCACACAACGTAAACTCATACCAAGAACATCGTCAACGAACTCATTAAGCGTTTCCTCAATTTACATTTTCTATTCATACTGGCATTGCGGGCTTTACATTTTACTAGCACCTATAAATAGTTGTTTGTAAAATTTACAAGTACTATTCCACTTTAAATGAAACTATGCGGCAGCGACGAAATAAATCAATTTGCTGAGCTTAATAAGAGAACGACAATGCCGCATGCGGTAGCCCACGCTCACTTGCAGCTGACAATACAGTAGTTCATTCATCAAATGATTAAAACTCAGCGAAACGATGAATTTAATCGCTGCAGTATAGTTAAGTGCAGCGCCTGTCCAACCGCCGGTGCAGCCGGTGCAACGCACCTGCGCAATTCGATGTCACAAGACCGTTTAAATGGCTTAGCTACAATATCAATTGAGCATGAAATTGCTGATTCAATTCAATATGAGGATATCATCGACGAATTTGCCGCTTCCAAAGCCCGGAAAGTTTCCTTTTACTGATCAGTTACGAAAATTCGCAATATTTAATAATGAACATTAAATGTTATATCACGCAATAAAAATTATTTACAAATCGAATGTAAAACATTCATGAATAAATACTGTTTTTGCTACAAAAAGATACGATTTAAAATTTAAATTAATCATTGTCAAAAAAAATTGAGTCATGAAATTTCAGGGGACGCATGAATATAACTTGCACCGGAGCGCCGTGAGCGCTCGGACAGGCGCTGGTTAAGTGTAAATGTATCCAAATGTCAATTGAGGTTTGAGGAAACGATTGATAAGTTCGTTAATAATGCAATTTGGCATGGGTCCTTTTATTTATTTATTACGCATTTAAAAATTTGATCTTATAACATTAGAACTAGAAAAAATGACAAAAAAAAATTAACCATTGATTCAATACAATAAAATTGCATGTAATTTTCTGTATTTGCTGTGCTTTCAGATTCAATATTTAATATTTTTCAAAATGAGATGGAAACATTGGTTTTTTAGTCAAATGTTCCCAATTGATCGTAATAAAGAATAATATTTCGAAGATTTGCTTGAGTTGTCTCATCTTTGTAAAAGTCACGCCTTGCCTTCAATTCAACTTCATTGTTCACAAGAATATCGTTGAACGGCTCAACCAAACATGAAAATATGAAACCTAAATCAAATTTAAAAAAATATTAATCTTCAAGTCTAGCATAAATTTCTCAACTTTTCTTGAATTTAGATCAAACGAAAAACCATCAAATTGTAACCAGTATTTAAATAAAGAGCAAAGATAAACGATCGTTCATAGTTTACCTAAAATGTTTCTCTCGTGATATTGATTTTGAAATTCTGTCCAAATCGGAATGCGATTTTTGTACTTCAATTGTTTGAGGAAATTAACCAAATGTTCATAATAAAATAGAACCAATTCATCGAATCGCTGTGGCCGATAAGCCTCATCAATGGAAGTATTCAAGAAGTAATGTAAATCGAGTGTGGGCGAACCCCAACAAGAGTGTTGAAAGCCAATAAAAACAGTGTTTTCGATTGGACTGTCTTCGGTACTGTTCTCCGTTCTCACCATCAAATGTTCAGAGCAGAGACTATCGTGGTTTAATGTATTAAAGTGATTTGGATTCACATCGTATGTTTGATGAGCCCGCTCAATTATCTCGCCGTAAAGACGACGTAATTTTTCAGCATACACAGCAAAATTGGGCCATTTAGAAACAACATCAGTTACAACTTTGAGATTTTCGGCGTAAATTTGATTAGTTTCACGACACAAGCGACCTAAGTGGATAGAAATTGGGGATTTAAAGAAAAAATAAACAAAAAATGAATAAGGACATGAAATATTCATCTAACCATATTTATAATTGGCAAAAATATTTGCATCTTCCTCTTGCAAAACGGCAGAAATGGCATGAAACACAGCCATTCTCTTCAGGATTGATTTCGCTTCGAAAATGTTGAACCCACGATTCGCTGGCAAAATTTGATAACCTTTGGCTGATAAATCTCCCAGAGTTATAAGATTTTTCTCTTTACAAACGCCAAACACTTCCGGAAACAATTCTGGCTCGCCAACATCGTCAAGTTTTTCATTGAATTTCGCAACAATTTCATCATAGAATGATATTTCTTTGCTGGATGCATCCAGATAATCTGCAATAGATGACGCCTCTTTCACGATTAGATGGCAATTCTATTTAAATAGATAGATGTTAGCAAAAAAAAAATTCTACATTTGCCGTACAAATAAATAATTTTCTTATTTCAGTTCAATTCACTTGAAGAAATTACACTTTTGATTTCCCTGCCATTTTGCGACAAATGTTGTCTCTCCAAAAGAAAAAATTGTCAGATAAATGTTCTTTTTAGCGACAGCTCACCTCTTCTCCTACTAAAGAAACACCGAACGATACAGTAACTCGATATACACTTCTACCTTCTTTTGCCGTTGCTACATTTACATTGAAATTGATCACGTTAATTTCATCGTTTTTGAAATGGTTTCGTAAATTTTTTTCCAGAAAATGCTCATTGAGCCAGTCTGGAACAGATTCAATATTTTCACACATATTTACTCTTTTTCTCCTAAGAATACTATTTAAAATGTTCCAAGTGTTTGAAGAGTGGTTAAACACTGACGGCCGATGAAATATGTACTAGGCTTGCGTTGATAATTTCTCACAATACACTTCACGTTTGAATGTTTGCACATAAGTTGTATTTTTCGGATGATTTGAAGCCGTTGATCAAATATTTTTTCCACAGCTTAAAATTTGGAATGAGATTAAACCAATTATCAATTGAAGCTATGTAAAAAATGAGAGAGTGATAACAAAAGTGCTGATTGTTGATGCCAAATTTTTCAGCTGTCGCTTTGAAGGTCAAAACCCAAAAAAAAACAACTGATATTTTGTCGCAATTTAAAACATGGCATTTATTCTTTTCTGTCTCTCATAGAACATCCATCATATATTTTTTAGCCTAGTTTATGAATATCTTCATATATAATTTCTCGTTTGTGACGCAATGAACAACACACAGTAAACACAATGATTCTAGCAATGTTGAGATTTGACACTTAATTTGGTTTTAGTACCATTTGCTCTAGAAAAAGTTCAAAAGTTCTATAATAAATACATGAAGCTTTGATTTGTGATTTAGTACATTTTGAACTTTTTCTAGTACAAATGGTACTTAAATGGATTTTAGTGGCAAATTTCATATTGCGGTTCTAAAAGTTAGAACAATCATGTTTACTGTGCAGTCAACAAAAATATGCTTCAGTTAAAAAAAAACTGTTATCAAGATAACAACAAAAACCAGCTTTATCGCGATGAACTCTATAACTCTTTGATAAAAAGATCGTTTGAACAAAACCGAGTGAACATTCGTGATTATGAATGACTATTGAGTATTGAAACACATTTTTTCATGTCATTGTTCATAAGAATAATTTTAAACCTATTCTGATCGACTCAATATGATCAAATTGAATGTCCGAGAATGAAAACGCAACTTCTATTCACAACACATATAAGTGAAACAAAAATAAAAAATTTATTGAAATGAAACAACACAATCGAATTTTTTCTAAGTGTAACAACAAAAAAGATTTTTTTAAAGTGTAACATCGGTATGTAGTAAGTGTAACATTCAATTAATTTGATATTCGTATTTAAAAAAGCTAACCTTCAATTTAATCCAATCTAGAAAAGTTGGAATATTTGTTTGCTATCATTCATCACATTTAATTTCTTACCCACAAAATGCGCTCGCCGTATGAGAGGAAACGTAAGCCGTATACAAAAAAGTGGGCATGTAAAATGCAGTGAAATGAAGACGACGACGTCAACAAATGAGAAAGACAACAAGATGAATAAAACTATTATGACCTCACAAATGCAACATGCTCATGCTTATATGTATTATAGGAAGATTGCCGCAAAAGATATCGAAACAAAATTTATAAAATTGAAATACAAAAAATAGCTTCATTTACGGTGTTTTTAAATTTCCTACAATATTTTTATGTTCACCTGAGATGCAAAAATAAAATTCAATCAAAAGTGCCGAGCTGATCGTAATATGGAATGAGTTTCCGTAGAGTTTTACAGGCGTTATCGCTTTTGAATATGGCACGTCTGCCTTTTAAACTATTTGCATTATCTTTTACGGAGTCTTCTACGCTCATTTCCACTTTGCTGTTGGTCATAAATGGCTGAATGAGGCATCCCATTGTGAAACCTTCATTTAATGAAAAAAATCATTATAAAAGATATTTGACTCGTTGAATTACTTTTTGTACGAACTTAATGATCATACCAAATATTCGTCTTTCATGATATTGTGCTTGAAACTGTGGCCAAGTCGGAATCTGCTTTTTGTAATTCATTTTCTTCAGAAAGTAAATCAATTGAGCGTAGTAAAACTTGACAAGTTCATCAAATCGATCTGGACGGCAAGTATGGCTCACCGAAGAATTGAGAAAGTAATACAAGTCAATCGTTGGTGATGCACAGAAAGCGAATTGAAAGTCAATCAATTTAATATTCTCAAACGGTTTCTCTGGCGATCCATCGCTGGTTTTAATCATAAAATTTGTGCTCCAAACATCATCATGGTTTAATGTGTTGAAATGGTCTGGATTGAAATCGTATGTTTTTCGTGCACGCTCAAGTATTTCGCCACGAAGCCGACGCAATTTCTCGACATACACAGCAAAATCAGGCCCAAATCCAGAAATTGTCTCTATCACCACGTCTAAAGTTAAAGCATAGTAATCTTTAAATGTATCAATCTCACGGCTCAAGTGACCGTATTTAAAATTAGCGAAAATATCTGGATTTTCCTCTTGTAAAACAGCGCAAGCTGCGTGGAAGATGGCAATTCTCTTTAGAATGGCTTTCGTCTCTTCGAAGTTGAATCCTTCTTTTGCGGGCAAAACTCGATATCCCTTAGCAGCTAAATCTTCGAGAATCATAATACTTTTTGATTTACACACACCAATGAGCTCAGCAAAGAGTTCAGATTCACCAAGATCACTCAATTTTTGATTGATTTTCGGCGCAACATCAGTATAAAATTCAACTTCTTTGTTGAAAAAATCAAATTTTTCATAAGCACTCAACGACCATTCATCGGAAGCCGCTTGTTTTACAATTAAACTGATGTGTGATATCTAAAATAAAATGGAAATCAATGGAATGATAAAATGTGAAATACTTCGAAAGGTAGGCTTGTTGACTTTTACGAATATCTTTGATTAGAAAAACAGAATAATTCAAAAAAGACATAAACTAAAATAACTTTCTTCACTGACATCTCTGTCTTCACTTCCCGATGATGACCTCTTTTCAGATGAACCACTAAATGACACATTGACCCGATAGATATCACTTGAGAAATTTTCACACTTTCCCGTGGCCGATTCTTTACTAAAATTTATCACATGAACTTTGTTGTTTTTGTAGTAGATTTGTAATTGTTCTTCAAAAAATTTATTATCCATCCATTTTGATTCGGCTCCCAAAACGATTTCAACTTTATCTGACGACATTTCGGAAAAGAATCGCAGTGAAAGTAAAAACAATCAAGATAAAAATGTTCAAAACAAATCGATGAAACTGAACAGAATGTGGTGGTGCGAGCAACAAAGAGGTTGAATAAAACAAAACTGGTTTTCGAGAAAGTCTTTATATTTCGGTAACCGAACACGTTGAAGAGCAAAACCAGACTGAATGCTTGAAAACCATATGCTGGTACAAATAGTGAATGTGGCTTTTGTTTGCAAACAGCTGGCTTCAAAAATATTTGAACCGTTTAATATCGAAACACTTTCTAATTTTGCCTTTTTATACATACGCCTCCAAATGAGATGCAATTGTTGTATGTATGTGTTCTATACAGCTGAAGAATGAAATAAGTGAGAGAAAATGAAGTCATAAATTTCAAGTATTTTTTAAGTGATGTCATTGCATTGTATTAAGCTATACACTGAATTTGGATGAAAATAAAATCTTATCGAATTTTTGAGCAATTTGAACAAAGTTGCTGCATGTAGTTATTTAACTTTCTTTTTTTCTTTTTTTCCTTCTCATTCTTTACATTTCATTCTTTAAACGTCACTTATTTAATCATGGCTTTGGAATCGTTTGAATTTAAAATGAGAATAATTATTCTCATTCTCTGTTTTGTATAATGCCTTTTATCTTATTTTGCACTCAACTCTGTGTGTGTAGCGAAGATATAAAGAACAATTTAATTTTTAAATAATATCTATACCAAAGTTGGAGCCTAAAACTATTTATTTTAGTTTATTTGTTTTTGGATTTCTTTAAATTCATTACAATCATATTACTAACCAAATACATGAAAACAAAATAAAAAAAAACCCGGAGATAAAATCTCTCCAAATATGATGAAAATACATTTTTTTCACAAACGCATTACGTTATCGTGTATGAAATGTGTTTGATAAAAATGGCACGAATCGTTGTTCAAATGAAGTCATCGTCTGGCTTATTCTTCACAGTCTCGTATATGTTTTCTTCGTTAATTGGTTTGAGCTCTATTGTCACTTTCTTTTTCCTTCGAACAAAAACCCAAATAAGCAAAGCCACCAATAGAACGACCAAAACACTACCGAATCCAATTGCAAAATCAACGTATTCAAATTTTTCATCTGAGGTAGATTCTGGCCCAGTCGTTGTCTCGAATGGTGACGTGTTCATTTCCTCTGTTGTTGATGAAACAGATTCACTTTTTGACGATGGATTCAAAGTTGTCGACTTATTGTTAATTGATTCTGATTTCAACTTCGACGATAATACACTTTCTGTTTGGTTTAGTACTGTTATCGAAGTTGTGGTCGTATTCGATGAAGTTGCAGTGTGTTTTGCTTTGATTTTTGACGCATCTTTAGGATCTCCATTGTTTAGTTGCTGGTCACATTTCAAAATCCCTTGATTATTCGCAATGTTCAAAGTAAGGATTTTCTGGAATGTCACACTGCAATCAAAGGTGTTAATAGAATTGTATTGCAAAAGCAATATTTTTAAATTTGTTTTGTTAATAAACATTTGATCGCTGATCGTTTCAATAGCATTACAACTCAAGTCCAAATTTTCTAGTAAATGTAGTTCTGAAAATGTGTCATCACTCAATTTGACAATTTTATTATGTGCCAGATTTATGAGATTTAGATTTTTAGAGGTAAATCTATCAACCGAATTTATTTTATTATGTGATAAATCGATTTGGGTTAAAGCGATCATTGGCTGGAGATAATCTTTACTAAGCTTTGTTAAATGATTATTCGATGCGATCAATATTTTCAGTGTGTTCAAATGTTCCTGGTTTTCTTTACTGATATTAAAATCAACGAATCCATATGATCTCACATCTAATTTTTCTAAGTTTGGGAATTGACTCAGCAACGTTTCATTGAAACCACTGGCCGTACAGTAAACTGTTCTCAGTTCTTTCACATTGGAATTACTTATGTTTGGATGTGTCAGAAGCTCTGATGTGCACATCGGTTTTCCAAATCGATTATCGCAATAGACCCAAATCAAAGTCTTATTTTCACTCTTAAAATCACACCCGAGCATTTCAGTATTTGCAGAATTCGATCCAATACAATCACCAAAAACAATAATCCACCACGAGAGAAGTAACACTGAATTATTTTGTTTTCTCATATTCAACAAATCCCAAACAAATGTGCCTCCCTTGTTTTCTTTTCAGTGGGAATAGTCTTGATGTTCCGTTCAATTTGTTCCAATTTTGATTGAATCCGATCGAATTATAATTTCGTTTGTGGTAGTGAACTCAACATGACTTACTCCAGCCAACAACTCGTACTGCAAATGTAAAAATAAATTCTGATATGGAAATGATTCAAAGTCACAATGCGAAAATTTCATTCATTTCGAATGAAATATTTTGTTTTATTTAAAAGATATTTTGTTCTTATCGAAACAAGTGCTTCAAGTAACAATGAATGACTCATTCTCACACATTTGTACAGTGACTCAATATAAATTATATTTTTTAGATTTTTATTATTATAAATCTATCGTCATCGGCAAATAATTCGCATTTTAATTTTTATTTTTCTTATCAATAAACATAAAAACGGGACTGAGAAGATTTTCTTATTGAATAATTGAACACGAAACGATGAATTTACATAAAACACACTAGCAAAAATGAATTCAAATAAAAATGTCAAGATTCCATTTGTCTTACTTATGTATAGTTTGCATGTGTCTCCTTTGATTGAATTGCGTTGAAAACTTCTTCTGACATATTTCACAGAATAGTGCATCAATTGGATTCTCGTGTTCCATCTGATGCAATTCAAGTAAGTCATTTGATGGGAATTTTTTCACGCATGATGGACATTGGAATGGCCGTTTTTTATGAGTTTCTTCATGTCTAACAATTCGGTATTTGCGGTCAGTGATGTATTCACAGTGATCACATGTGAATTTCTTTTTGCCATTCGGCGCCGTGCTTGTTGACATTGATGTTTCATTCGGTGTCGTCATATCGGTTGAAGTTTCGATAGATTCGATTTTGTCATTGTTTTGATTCGATATGATACTAGCTCTGGTTGTCAATTTGCTGGTGAAACATCTTTTGTTGTTGAAGTGTCTGATTCCAGTTTGCTTGGTTCAGTCAAAGCGGTAGCTGGAGCCACACGAGTTTTTGGAGCTAAAGGTGGAATGTGAGAAGATGTAGGAGAAATGGATGAGGTAATGCGAGATGAGACAGGAGTAGAAGAAGAATCACGATTGCCAATCGATGCTATTGAAGGTTGCACTGATTTGGTGGGAACGGGCAATGGAGTTGAAGTTTGTGTCAAGATTCGATTTAGTCGCTGGGACGAAACCCGATCAGCAAATGATTCGGCGGTGATCTGATTTCCATTGTCAATTGGTGTAAAGGCGAGAGCAATTTTTCGGTAGTCTGTTGATTTGGCCAATTTTGATTCACTCGGGCGACCTAAAGAAACACACAAAAGAAAAATTATTGAAGAGATTTGAGAATGAAAATAAAACCGTATTGAATTGAAAACTACTCTCAATATGATTACCCGCAATTTTTTCAACTGATGACTGCACGGTGGTTTCGGCTACAGAATTTGTTGAAATCAGATTCTCTTTGTCAAACAAATCGGTCTCTTCATCCGAGATCTCGAATATTTCTTCATCGCTTGAATCGCCAGAACTTTCTTCGTATACTTCAAACCGAGGTCTTTTGATCAAAAATGTTTGGTTGCCGGTGTCGATTTCGTCTTGATTCTTTCTTTTCTGCGATGGAATCACTTTCCATCCCGTCGATTGTTCCCAATCTGCAAATGAAGCGATCGCATCATCCTTTGCGCTTAGTTTTCGTTCACCGTTCAGTCTCTTTAACTCCAAATACAGTACAAATTCGTCGTACACTTTGCATACGCTGTCAATGGAAAGAGGAATTGATTCAAAATAAAATGTCATCGAGTCACTGTCAATTGAAATAACACTGACTAAAATGTGTGAAAAAATGGATTTTTTCGGAAAATTTCCACGTTAATACACACCGTCTATTTATGAGGTTCAGCAACTTTTCACGAAAATTGTAGTCAAAAGGCGGATTCGAATGCTTGAAGTCGTCATTAATGTTGCTCAGTGTGAATTTAGTTTCACTTTCAATGTTTGATATCAACACAGCAATTGCGTCAGTCCATTCGCCCATTTTGTTGGTACAAGCAGTTGTCGAAAACCTAACGAAAGAATGAACGTTTGTATCAATTTATTCGGAGTAGGTCTACTTCATATTTCATAAGAATTTCTCTTTTCCAACAAAAACAAGGCTACACTAACACTTTTTAATCAAGGAAAATTCAAGAATTTTTCATGCCTTATTCCAATTAAATTGACGCGATTGGAAAGAGAATTAAAAATAAGTATTTGTCATTTTCCTATAGAGAAAAAAAAAAGTCTCGCCAAAAAAAAGAGTTGCAAATGTCATTGCGAATTACTTACTCTTTTTCGTTGTTTTTTTTTTCCTTTGAAGTGGTCGTCGTAAACGGATCTTGTATTTTTTTTCTATCGCACGTACTTTTGTTTGACACGATTTTTTTGCTTTGGTGAATCAATTGACAATTTGATTTTACGGAATTTAAATAATTTATCCAAATTTCGGAATGAATTTTTTCACACAATTTCAAACACGAACAAATTGCATTGTCTAAACAAAACAGGTGATTTTGCCGGTTTCCGTACACTTGGCACAAAAGAAAAAAGAGCGGACTTTTGACGTTTCAACAGAGCTAAAAAAAAAAAACATAGCTGCAGCCGGTGTATATGTGTGTCATTGGGTAAAATGAAATTCACAATACATATACATAGACACAAAATGCCGGCACATTCTTTGCCTCGCACAACTACATACAATGCAATGCTAGTGTCCAGTGAGACAGAGACAGAAACACAAACACAACAATACATTACTTTGACTGAAATTTGTGTAGACACTGCTTTGTGACTCGGTTTGGTTCATCGGCAAAGAGGCGACGAAAAACTCACAAATACAAAAGCAAAAGCGAATATGGATAAAGGCATAGAAATGAAACGTAATGAATGATTTGTTTCATCATCAATTTTTGCGCGCGTTCTTCGTTGAGAAGCGATCAAAGCGACAATCAATTAAATGAACCTTATGTAAAAGGTGACAGCAGCTGTAGGAAAGCAAACGAATGACAGAGATAGAAAAAAACACAAGAGAATGGTTGCAAAGACAAAGCAGAGAATATGTGCGAAAAAAGGAAAAAAACGAATACATACATTTGAATTGCGTTTGGGAAATGAATGACATTTGATTTATGTTTTTATTTTCTTTTATGCGTCAATTTTTTTTTTACATCAATTCAATATTTTTCTTGATCCAATTTATTTTCTGGTTATATCAATTTTATTTTTTTAACATGAAATGATTTCACATGTTTTCGTAAGTTCTTTTTTCTCGTATACTTATTGGGGCATAGTTCACAATGGTAAGGCTGATCGCCGGTATGCTTAAGCATGTGTTGTACCAAAACATATCTCTCCCTGTTTTGATATTTACATAAATAGCATTCATATCGTAATAAAGTGCAATTTCTTTCATGGAGTTCACATTTTACTTTGTCGGCAAATTTTTTTTTGCATCGCGAACATTTATTCTGATGAACTTTCAAATGAATGTCAAGAAGATCCTGTTCGGCGAATTTCTTTGGACACAATTTACAGCGGAATGGCTTCTCTTTATGCTCCAACATATGCAACGATATTCTATCTCTTCTGCTGTTACTGTAGTCGCATTCGTCACATTTGTATCGCTTTATTCCATTCACAATGAGTGTTTTTTGAGTCGGTGCAATGCTTGATCTCAGATTGGTTTTTGGAGCACACGGTCGTGGTGCGGTGCCACTACTTTGATTCATGACGTCGGTGCTGCCTTTGGTTGGCTTTTCTGCATCTTGTGCTGATGTGAGCGCTTGCATTCTTGCCTTCTTTACTGAAGCCGGAGCCGGCCTAGTCAAAGCTGAAGCCAAAATGGAAGATCGGGTAGAAGTTGCTTTCGTCTGCTGTCTGCCAGCGTCTTCAGCTTGTTTATCACCTGGAGAAGGACGGGTAAGTCTTCGGCTGCATCTTTTCTTTGTCCATTTAAAGTCAACTACTGGATCAACTGGATAGAAAAAACAAAAATGTTTAACATTATTGGAAATGTTGAATGAAACAATGGCATGCAATGGCATGCAATGGCATATTACCTGGAGTGGTGTCGACGTCAACAATAGCTGTTTGAATTGTTATTGTCTGTGTTGAAACAAGGCACTCATTATCATTTGTTTCCACTTCTTGTGGTGTTTCAACTGCTCCTGCAATTTCGTCGTTCTGTTCAATTTGTGGATCGATTGCTTCGTCGATTTTTTCCTCCTCAACAACTGGCTCTCTGTCAACTTCCTCATCCAATTCCATTCCGATTCGTCCATCGATTCGCGGTCTTTTGACTATGAACGTGCGATTGCTGGCATCAAGTTCGTCTGGTTTTTTCCGCTTTTGTGCTACACTCGGTCTTTCCGGTGTGTGATTTTGACGATTGTACCCAGTGGACTGTTTCCATTCTACGAATGAGCCATCACTGTCCATTGCACCAGAATCGTACCGATTTTCCAGCTCCTCGAATTCCAATCTTATTTGGAATTGGTCGTATGTCTTGGCGACGCTGTCAATGAAAAATCAAATTGTTTTTTTAATTCTTGTGTATGTCAACGCATATTTAGTTTTTGTTTAAAACAGTTTTTTTCGTCCATACATTAGCTCAATAAATAATTTTGAATCTAATTTAGAGAATATATATCAATAAAAACAACTGACGAAAAGAACTGTATCCAAATGATTATACCCACCGTGTTACAATAAATTGCAAGAAATGATTGCGAAATTCCGCATCGAACGACAGTCCCGTTTGTTTGAAGTCTTCATGAATGCCTCTCAGTGTGAATTTGGTTTCTCGTTCGATGACCCAAATCATTTCCGTGATCAAATCCATCCAATCTCGTGTTGTCGGCTCCATTTTAACGACCTTCACATACAGAACCAATAACACGATTTACACATTCAATTTTTATCAATTATTTTTTTCTTGTTATTCTTTGTTGAAGTTTTTGTGTGTGATTTCACTTTTTTCTGATCACATTAAATTCGTTTTTTTTGTTTGCAATTTATACAAATCAATTGCTTCCGTCAATGAAAAATCTTAATTAGTTAACAAAATTTGCACGTTACTTAATCAAAAAAAAAGAAATAGAAATATAAAATAAAAGAGCGTTCTTTTTGACGTCTCAGCTGTTCAGAGTGTGTAGTATGGAAAATGTGACAGTGAACCAGACGTCGTTATGTCAAGGTGTATATTGCAACGCACACACTTACATTGGTCGGCTCATGTTTCGCGCTCCACACTCATACAGAAGCGAGCTACAATGAAACACAAATACATTTTGCATTTGCCTTACAGTTCGTGACCAAGCGATAAACATAGGAGAACAAACAATGTTGAATGTTAATGCATAAAGAGGAAAGGGGAGAAAATATATTTCTCTTTCTTTTTCGATGCTTTCTTTTGAATGCGACACATAACAGAAGGACAACAAAGCAATTAACAAACGACGTTGTCGAAGCACTGCATCAAATGTGTATTAGATTCATTTATGGTTCGTTCACAGGTATGCTAATGTAGTCGAATGTAGGGCCAACGAACTTACGTATCTTAGGTATCGCACATTTCTCCGACTCTCTTTAATATGATGTTCCATTCAACGATCCGACAAAATTGTTCACACCTATAAAACTAACAGCAACCGAAAAAAAAATTTAATACATCGTTTTTTGTCATTTTCGGATCAATTTTTATTCGACATTCATTTATTCATTGAACTACGACTTCATTAGAAAATTATTAATTGTAATGAATTTTTCGGTTACATGAACAAAAAAAAGTGTTGCTTTGCTTTTTTGCTGAACACAAATTAAATTTATTCACCAATAAACATCCCAAAATAACATCATTTAAACACGAATTCCATTCATTTCTGATAAAAACCGCAGCAAGAATGACACTTCATTGAATTTTATTTCATTTCATCCGTCTCTTCAATCAAAGATGCCTAGTTGATCGTAAAATGGAATGAGTTTGCGTAAAATTTCGTAAACTTTTGGCTGCTTATACATATTTCTTCTGTATCTCATTGATCGCTCGTCGATTAACACCATTGCCTCAAGGTCTGCATCTTCAGTGCATTCATTGATCATGAATGGCTGAATGGTGCATGCGACGATGAAACCTGGTATTGTGAGGAAGAGAACATTTGGATTGAAATTGAAAATTCAAAATTTAAACATAAAAATCGCAGTCACATATAGAATTCATGCTGATGTCAATTGAAATTAAATATTAACTCTCATATCTAATCTGAATTTCTGTCGTTTGTTTTACTTTAAATACCCAAAAAATTGTACCGTAAAAATATCTCTCATTGAATTGTTTGAAAAACTCGTCGCTTGTTGGAATGCGTTTTTTGTACTCCAATCGAATCAAATTAGTCGATAGTTGTTCGTGATAAAACTGAATCAGTTCATTAAACGAGTGTGGACGAAGCGCTTCACAAAGCGATGTGTTCAAGAAATAATGTAAGTCAACGGCTGGCGATGCCCAACACGAATCCTGGAAATCAATAAACATCACATTTTCAAATGGCGCATCATTTCCTCCTTCCGTTGGTTTTATCATAACATTATTCAGCCAAAAATCCCCATGGTTCAATGTGTTGAAGTGATTTGGATTAGGATCAAACACTTTCAAGCCTCTTTCAACTACATCATTTCGAAGACGACGCAACTTTTCCGTGTATCGATCAAAATCTGGCCACGTCGAAAGTAATTCAATCAGAACATCGAGTTGAGCGTAGTAGAAATTGTGGAAAACATCACTGTCACGACTCATTGCACCTTGATGAAAGAAGAAGATGAAATCTTTTGAAATTTGCGGTAAAAATAGATTTGTATAAATATTGACGGAAATGTCAGGGAAATGAGTAGAAATTAAAGTTTTTACAAACCATATTTGAAGTTCACGAAAATGTTTGGCTTTTCCTCTTGCAAAACTGCACAGATCGCATGGAATGTCGCCGATTTGTTCAAGATTGCCTTTGCTTCGGCCAAATCAAATCCTTTTTGTATGGATGCCATGCCATAGCCCTTTGGAGTCAAATCTTCAAATAACATCACTTTATTCAACTGACATACGCCGATCGTCTCGGCGATCAATTCGGTCGGCTCATTCAATTTTTTCAACAACCGCTGAATATGAGGCACAATCTCACCATAGAATTCAATTTCTTTATCGTAGACATTGTGAGCCGAAAGTGTTTCGAAGGCGTGGCCACTTGAAAGTGCCGCTTTTACTATAAGGCTTCGGGTCATTATCTGAAATATGAAAAGAATGTTTAATAACATTTAAAGGTTAGCACCTCATTTATCGACATTGCTGTAACGATGCCAATGCGCATATTGTAGAAAAGAAGAAGAGTGTATTTCTGTTTCGTTAATATCTGTTTTTATATTATATTTTTTATATATATACGTAATATGAATCACATCCGAACAAATGAAAGAACATTCAGAACTAACAACATTTAGTAAACTGAAAAATAACACGAATAAAGAAAATGAAAAAGTATTTACAATTCGTTTGGTGTTTAATCAGAGAAGGAAATGAACAAATTCTCATAAATTCAAGAAAAGTACCTCATCGCTAAAATCCAAGCTAAAATCCACTTTGACCCGATAAATGGAACTGGCAAAGTTTTCGCCAGCGGCTGTAGCTGATTCAACCATCAAACTTTGAACTTTTACTTCATTGTTCCCGTAGTGTTTGCGTAGATGTTCCTGCATGAAGCCAGTATTTAGCCACTTTAGAATTTCAGACTCGGCTATATTTGTAGATGTCATTTTCTGATCTGAAGCTTTCAATCGATTGTTTGTGTTTGTTTTCACTCGATTTGGACTCACTATTTTGCTTGCAAACAAACCATCTAGCCACATCAACTGAACTGTTTTAAAAAAAATTGATCACTCAGAGTTTTTCGGAAAGACAAACATTAAAATATGCTTTATTAAATTAATTTATTAAAACATTTGATATGAATTGATTCAAGTCGACAATCAGATAACTTAAAGAATTCTACTTTCATTTACAATCAAATATTAATTTGATGTTATTGACATTTCTCATGTGAAACATCTGAACTGAAAAAGTGACAATGACAGTAGATAAGCCATTGTTGACATAAATTAGTAAATTTGGTTCAGAGTGATAAAACCGACAAAATATACATTTGATGAGGATTTGTCTAACTTCAGGCTGATTTGTTTCATTTTTCATGCATTTGTTTTATTCGATCGATCATTCGAACTAATTTATTTCAAGTCTTTAATTGCATGTTCTATGTCAAATTCTAGCCTATTCGTTATTTACGTTGACTATAAATTAAAATGCATTTCATATTTCTCTCGTTCTATCTATTGTGATGAGACACTATTCTATTCGAAATTTGTTACTGTATGCTTGTCTCCAATTCATCATTTGAACTGATCTCCAGCTGGTCAGCTTCTCTCAGATTCATACTTTCTAATTCAGATTCATTTTGATCAGTAATAACGTCTTCGTCTTTGATAAAAGACTCTCTGGTAGTCTCATTTAGATCAGCCGTTTCCGAATGATCTTCATCAGTTGTCTTTGGACTGACCTCCCTTAAAATGGTGAGATTGGTTCTATTTTCTATGATTTTTAATCAAAATAGTTAGAATTACGAATATAATTCTTTTTATTCTATATTTCAATGTCAAAAATGTTGACGACATTTCAAAATGCACACTGTTCTATCAGCGGAGTGAAACGATGGAATGTTTACATATTATTATCAATAAATGAATCAAAATCAAGGCCTAATTAAACAGCTAGTGACGGTAAGCTATTGTGTGTGAGGTGCTTTTAGCCATGAGTATGCATTATGCAATGAGTCTAATCACGAATTAGATTAGACATAAATTCTCAGAAAATAAGAATATCAAGTGTTTACCATATTCGATTGAAGTGTAATTTTTTTTTCTTTCAATATAAAAAATAGTTTATGGTATCAATTGATTGATTTTAATTAGATAATTTTGATCATTTCTATTGCTCGATTGTGTTCACTTAAAAAAACACAAATTTACTCGTACAATCTAATCGAAGATGCCCATGCTGTCGTACATCGGAATGACTTTTCGTAAATAGGACCGAGCCTTCGGCGATGAATATACCAGTCTCTTGACTCTCATGGATCTTTCATCGCCCATGTTGAACGCCTCGAAATCTGCTTCGGCGGTTTCTTCATTGATAAACATAGGATAATACATGCACGACGAAATAAAACCTGTTTTAAACAATTTTGGATTAATTCAAATTGATTTTGTAAAATAGAAAAATGTCTTCAGATGATGTAATGCTTTGAAAAGGAAAGCCTTGGGAAAGCAACGTTTTAAACAAATAATTTGCTGTAGAGGTTACTGCTTTAAAACTGATGAGTTGAATCGATGAATTTCATTACCATAAAATGCTTTCTCTCTATACTGTTGCTTGATTTCGTCCGAAGTCGGAATATGATTTTTATAGCCCAAACGTTCCAGATATTCGGCAAGGTCTCCTTGATATGATTCAATTAAATCATCATATCGGCTTGGTCGCAGCGATTCTTGCAACGAAGATTCGAAAAAGTAATGAAAATCAATACCTGGCGACGTCCAACAGGAGAATTGGAAGTCGATGAAAATCATATTTTCAATTGACACTTTGGTTTCATTACTGGAATCGTGCTTATCCGTGTATTTCATCATGAGATTGTTAATCCACCTGGAGAAAGTGAAATTATTGATTGTTTACCAATTCAAAGTGTAGACGAATCGTGAAGAATTAATTTTAAAAAAAGGTACGAACAAATCGCCATGAATCATCGTGTTGAAGTGATTCGGATCAGGATCGAAGGCTTTGGCCCCCTTTTCCATAAGGTTTCGACGCAGACTTTGGAATTTTTCCATGTAATATTCTTTGTCTGGCCATGTTGAAATTACTTCCATCATCACATCAAACTGAGTCAAGAAAAATGTATCGAGTGCATCTGTCGTTCGACTCATTAAACCTATTTAGGTTGTAATTTAACATTAATACACATTTTTTCAAAGAGCTTGAACTTGAAACGTTGTTCAATTACTTACCGTATTTAAAGTTTTCAAAAATATTCGGTTCTTCCTCCTGCAGCACAGCATTGATTGCATGTAACAGGGCGGTTTTCTTCAGAACTATTTTCGTTTCTTCAAAATTTAGTCCGCGTTGAACTGAAGCTGTGCCATAGCCTTTGATTTTCAAATCCTCAAACAAAATCGCATTATTCGTATTACAAACTCCATACGGTTCAGCTACTAATTGGGCTGTTTCGTTCAATTTTTTCAGCTTTTGGTTGATTTTTGGCGCGATTTTGCTATAAAATTCCATTTCTTTGCCATAAGAATTATTCTTTGACAATTTTTCAGTTGCAAGTCGACCAGGAACAGCCGTTTTTACGATGACATTTAACGGCTTAAATTCCTAATGATGGATGTACGAGAAATAATTTTATGCCAAGCACTGTAATCACATATTTCCCGAACATATTTCACATTTTCCATTGCTTTACCTCATCCGAAAATGTGACATGAACTCGATACAGATCACTGGCATAATTGTCACCTTTCGCCGTGGCCGGTTTCACTTCGAAATTGGCAATAGTTAGCTGTACAAGACCGTAGTAATTCCGCAAGTGTTTTTCTAAAAATTCTTTGTCAAGCCACTTTGGAATTTGTTCAATCATATTGGTTTCTACAACCATTTTTCAAAACTTTTTTACAGAACCACTATAAAGAACAATCTATAAAAGTTTTTTTTTTAAGAAATGTAGTATTCAATATTCTCTCTTGTAAAATCCGCACTGAAAGAACCACATGCACTGATGTGAATTGTTGCGTCAACACTATGCTTCGTTTATATAGTGTTTTCATTCCGCTGATTATCTTTATCATTAATATGATAACTGTATATATGGCACGTAATGAAAACTGCCATAAACCAGATTTTTTATCATCTCATACATTCGTTACGTATGAATTGTACAGAGTATTCCTGTATTTGTGTCGTTGATAGTGTCTTATCTTTAAATTACACAATAGAATGTGATAGATGGTCAGCTACGGCTGACAA